TATCGCCAAGAACCAGCGGGAGTGCCACTACAGCCTGAGGCTCTTGACGGGACCGCGACCAGCGGCGGTCAGCACCAACAGCGGTCGTGCGCCCAGACCAGCAAGCAGCGAAGAATGCACCGGCAGCGGCTACAACGGATACGGACGCGGTGCGGGTTTTCCGGGCGGAAAAGGGGGCACCGCGGCCGGGACACCGGTATCGGAGGGGTGGGGGGGGCACGCCGGCGGTGGGATGGTGTCCATGGCCATGACACCTCTAAAGCGGTGAGAGCTCGGACAAATGCGTGTGTCGGGTTCGTTGCTACTGCCTATAGAAGCCGAGCTCAAACCATTAGACTAGTCAGCGCTGATTAGTGTAATGGTTTGATTTCGGCTTCTATAGGCCTAACTCGCTTTGTTCTTGAGTCAGATTTGGGGTTGACTTGGGCGCAGGTGCCATCAGCCGTTTTTTCGGGGGAAGTGCTGCTGTTTATTCTTTGGTTCATTGTTATGCCGTTCTTTTTTGCTCCCGGGGTGATTGTGATTGTTTTGGGCCATCCTCGACACACGGGCTGTTTTCTCGACAAGAAGAGCAGGCCAGAAAGTGGCGGACCAGTTCCTGGAAAATGCGGACACGGACGAGGATAAGAATATGGTGGGATCCGACCTTGTATCAGAAATAAGAACACACTTCCAACTCCGTAAAATCAAAGAAAGAGTGCATGCTCGGTCGATATAGCACCCCTTTCCAAAGGGATGCGTTGACGTCTTTTTAGCAGTGAGGGCGGAGGAACCCCTCTGCTGGATCCTGTTTTTTTTGTTTGCGAGATACACAATCACAGAAAAGACTTGCCGTTCGAGACAAGGCCACGGCAGCCGAAGGAGTGAGTGGGTGAAAAGAACCGGCTGCGTATGGAAGGCTTGATGCCGGTTAAGAAGACCAATCGGTTCTTATTCGCATTGCCTGCACGGTTTACCATGTCAACGGTGTCTGATGGTTAGACGGTGTGCATGTGTGCCGAATGGTGGCGTGTCGTGTTTTTTTGTGCTTGGCACACATGCAACGGCAGGGCTCGCCTCAGCCCCTCGCCGGCTACGGGACTGATCGGGTTGAAGGAGAATGCCTACATCGGCGACTTCTTCCAGACCATGGGCTTCTTGCCCATCACAAGCGAGAGGTGCGTGTGATCTCGATTTGTTTTCTTTCCACTGTCTCATTTTTTTCCCCTTGTCGTAGTGTAGAGTTGTCACCATGACAAAAGAAACGGGAAGAGTTGGAGGGATGAGAAGGAACCGTGAAATAAGAAGCGGTCAGGGTCAGGGGCCAAGACGGTCGGTTGTCTGTCCGGCCTGTGCCGATGCCGTTTCTGTTGCTGCCGTTTCCGTAGCTTGTAGGCTTCGCGCTTGACGGAAGGTAGGTGCAGTAGGCGGTCCCTGTACCGAAGTTTTGCATAAGATTTTTCACCCCCTGGGCCAATTGTCAAGCGCAATTCATCCACGAGGAAGATAACGCGAAATTCAAATACTTAAAACATTTTCGGAAAGCTCTCGACGAGACGATTCCAACGCCTCCATTTTCGGCAACGCTACTGGTCTTTCTACCAGGTAATCGAGCTTTGAAGATCGGTCCACGGGGAGTGATATCTTATGCAACCTACGGTGTAAAGGTGCTTGGTTCCTGTGTAAGATACTGTAGGCCGGTCGCCCTGTGCAAGACCTGTGTAAATCGCGTGACACAGATGGAATGTTCAAGTTGTCTCCTGCTACATTCTGAATAGTGTCAAATGGGTGCCCGGTATAGAAGTCCTCTGCGGAACTCCTCGGCAATATTTACGCGGCCTGATGCAGAAGGAGGCCACTGCCGTACGTGGGGGGCGTTGGAGGTGCAGGGAGCACGTCGAGTCGACCCCAGCCCTGCCTGTCGATGATCATCCTTGCGGCGTGGCTTTCGAGGCGTATCCTCCGAGCCGACCCATGAACGTGGCGATTCACGTAGAAACAAGTGAGCCCCCTCCCGGCCCCATTCGAGGTCCATGATTTACCGACTACGACATGCACGACTATGAGTACCCCCCCCCCCCCCCCCCCCCCCCCCCCCCCCCCCCCCCCCCCCCCCCCCCCCCCCCCCCCCCCCCCCCCCCCNCCCTCATTCTTCGTCGCTCCTTCCGCGCAGCTTCATCCGTAAGGCCATGGTGAACACCATGTTCCGCACCATGCAGGAGCGCGACCCGGAGTTCGCAGGGCCTGAAGCAGGAGGCGTTTTTGGCGGCGGCCAGGGGTGGGGAGAACACGCCTTGGTGCCAGGTGGCGGGGGTGGCGGCCTGGCACGGGCAGAGAATGCCATCGAGAACGCGGCGGCGGCTTGCGTGCTGTGGAGCACGGTTGGGGTAGGGTGCTTGATTCGAGGGCGACCCAAGTCTTCGGTGAGCTTGTCGGCGGCAGGGTTGTCTCGAAGGACGGGGTGGGTGGGTGGCGCGGCGTGCAGTGGACGGGGGGGGGGGGGGGGGG